CCGTCTTTCTTAAAAACCTTCATTCCCACTTGACTACTCTGGTCACCTTACCGTATTCAGTGCCAAGTTCCCCCTCATGTTGTTGGGTGTGACTCCGTACAGCACAGCAGCACCGGCCAGCGCTCCGAGACACTGGGCTATGATGTAGAAGAAAGCCCGAAACATGGACATCTGGGATCCGATCAGGTAAGCGAAGGTGACGGCTGGGTTGATGTGTCCCCCGCTGATGTGACCAATGGACTGGATGAAGGTGGCAGCCGCCAGTCCAAAGCAAAAGGCAACATGGAGGACATTGTGGGGGCCTGTGGTCCAGCGGAGGGCCGCTCCCAGCCCGAAGAATACAAAGAACATGGTGCCATAGAACTCTGCGAAGACCGCTCGCCAGAAAGACATAGACCTGAACTCCCACATAATGGTACAAAGTCAAAAAGCAGCTTCTAAACACCTGAGGACTAACTAATCGACCTAAAGCAGAAAATGTCAAAAACAACAAAAAAATACAGACCAAAAAGCACTCAAACAGAAGCTGTCTCTCTAAAGCTAAATGTAACAACACATAAAGGCCTCAGCATGTAGCTGTGAGTAAAATGCACGGATTCCTTCTTAAGTCAGATTTTTGTCATAAAGAGCTCCTGAGTGGAGCAGTAAGCCAGTCTCTGTGCATCTATATGCCAGCCCTCGCTGGTTGTTAGAAGAGTAACATGGATAGACAAACGTTAAGCATGTCCTGCAGACATTCAGCCTCTTTATCAGAGCGGGGGGACCTCAGGGGCCTTTTTATAACCCACCAACGCCATGACGGACTCACTGAGCCAAGGGGAGGGGTCAGCGGACAATATCACTAATCAAAACAAGGTCACTTAACCCTTCTTTTGCTAGTTGGTCCTTTGGACATACAGTTTGAAACTTGGAGGCCGAGAGGAGCTTTCTGGGAAGAGCAACAGTGTGTCTTCGCCAAACGTGAAGCTTTTTTATTTTTGGATTACCTTGGGATGAAAAAAAGTCTAACAGCCTGGTGGAAACCATGATGGCATTAAAGCGCTTTAATATAGGAAAAAATGTCTTTCTTTCCACACCAGCGTCACAAATTTAATGAATTTGGAAGTCGACTCAGACTTCAACACTGGTGACTTGTGACCTCACTTGGACTTGAGCCTTTTAACTTGAACAGACCAGATATCTTACAATTTGTATATTTCATGAATCATCTCACATTAACATTGATAGATTTAACATTACTATTGTTGATTTAAAGCTGCTTATACAAACTACTCAGTATTGTGGAACAGAAGCACGAAGAAACAAAGCAATGTTACTGAGCACCACTCAGACAAAAAAAGGTAGTTAAGACTATGCCATTTGTTTGGCGTAATTACAAGGTTGGAAAAAAATAAAGAAATTTAAGAATGAATAACATCTGAGTAAAACTTCAAACACAGTAACAATAATCAATTTCCTTTGGTTTTGTACTTACAAAAGAAAATGAATTTAGTCACTTATCTGTAGTTATTGCTACCTTAAGAATTTATTTTTTTATTCTTAGTTGCTGATGAAAATATGAAGAGAAAAAGAGGTTTTGTAACCATGACTACAAGTGCTGCATGTTCTCCCGGTTTGGACACACACTTTTCAGCACATTTGACTTTGTCCAGAACTATCCATGTATTAATTCACAGCCAGCACTTAGTGTATTCACTGTTATATTTCAGATTATCGTCACAAGTTTCTGTTCTGCTTCAGCTTTAATAGTCTCTCATTTTCCTCCAGCAGCATCGGTAATGTGGTCAGCTCATGTTGGTGAGCGGACCAGTTCCTGGAGCAGCAACGCCTCCCCAAACCATGACACTTCCACCTCTCTGCTTCACAGCTGGCGTGTTTCACTTTATAATTATTATTTTTTCTGGAATGCATTTGGTTGGAGAACAGATGACTGTTTAAGGTGTCACATTAAAAAACTCCTTTCTGGCCTTATTTTCTTCTTCTTACATGCTAAACACTTAAGAATGCCAGAGACGATATCACATACAGTATAGAAACAACTGATCTTCCACAGGTTTATGGCCTTATTTTTAAAGCAGAACTCAGATGAACTCTAATCAATGCTGCAATCCATAAGGCTCCAGTAATTTCCCAACCTTATGCTCTGAATAAAAAAAAAAACAAAACAGATCTGTAGCAGAACTGATTAGACAGAGTTATGCATTGTGTGCTGTGGATTGGTTTGCAGGCTCAGGTCGGATAAAGCGGTGGAAAATCCACGGCCACAGAGGAAGAGGGGAGAGCAGCCGTGGTATTGAGCTTCTGCACTGGAGCGTCATGCTGACCAGGACAGCTACAGGGACGGCCGCTGCTCTCTGAAAGGTTTATGCTGACCTTACTGCTTTTTGTGCCTTTCACGCCTGGAAACAAAACGCTAGCAGTAACAGTTTCTGTTGGTTTCTATGGTCTGTTTTTCTTGCAGTCATATTCAGATCTGCAAGTTCCCTTCCTTGCACCTGTGAGTGGCTGACTTAGTGCCTGTTGTTTCACTTTTGATCTGTACATGTTCCAGATTTTTATCAGTGGTGTGAAACAAGTTTACAAATTCAACTGGCAGACTTTTGCCGAATAGCAAAAAAAGAATTTGGTCATTTTGATTTTGACAGCTGTCTTGATTTTGGAAAAATTAAATAAATAACTAAACAAAACACGGATAATTTCAAAAAGTTCATTAGTTAACAGGTTGGGAAGTTTTGTCCTCCCCCCCCCCATGTCTCCCTAAGCCAGCTTTTGTACATTTAAGCCTGTAGTTTTGTTTGGAGGGTGTTGGAAAAGATGCTTGCATTGTGTTTTTCTGTTCTCTTGGTCCAGACTGCTGACGCACACATAACCTGCAGCCCCTAAACACTGGGGCAGACAAACTCTATAAAAACTTTACAGTAGTAAAGACTTGCAGGAGAAGAAGAAAATTTAGACTACATGATTGAATTACAATGCCTTTGAGAAACCCTCTGCTAGCATAATCACAGTCTGTATAATTCTGTGTTTGAAGTTCTGCATTGGGCTTGACACCAGATTTGATGAGCATTAAATAATGCACAAAAGCTAACTAACTGTATTAACCCTGATGTTGAGGGAAGTCTAAAATTGAAGGTCACAGTTTGAAAATTTACACACAGCAAAACTGAACCACAACTAATTTACACCTCAAATATTCAGAAAAGAGGAATGAAACTGGGTATTTCCCTTTTCAGTCTGTGTGAAAGTAAAGACGGTAAGTCCCTACCAGAGGCTCCAAGTAAAAGGATGCAGAACAGGACAGAGGTCCTTATAAGGCAGCACAGTCACACGCAAACTATTCATGTTCCACTGAAGTTCACATAAAATCTACCAGGTTAAATTTCAGTCTTTTCCCAAAGTTAATCTTTAATACATTTTTAAAGGGAAACATGAGCATACAGGTTTTAATCTAAGCTATAAAATCTCAAACGTCCGCACACCCCTCCCACTAATATCTAGTTAAATCTCCTGCAATCAGCTGCACCTCTAGCGCCCACTGTATGTAGGAAACGGGACTTTCTGTCTCATTTCTGGTTAGATAAGGCGATGACTTTGGGTTTCAAAAATGGTGTAGCTGATTAAACTGGAAGATTTCTTGGACGTGTTTGAACGTTGTCCATGAGGTTTGAATTGGTCTGCGGTTGGGGTCATTCCAGAAGTTTCATTTTGCCCTGCTTTATCCATTCCAAGACCAGTCTATTGATCGTCCTTATGTTTATTTTTGGTTTTTGTGCCATTTAGTTCCTGGGTTATATCAAACATCCCAATCCATTCCTTTTCATCTGGAGGCAGATTTTGTCAGATGAGTGAAACTGGAAATAATTGGGAATATCAACAGTAAAATGATTGAATGAATGAATGAATAAAGTTGGCTAATTAAGTTTCTGAATTTGACTAAATTAACTCAGCTAAAATGTTTTTAACTCTGCCATCTCATTTTTTATTTTATAAAGCCAACTAAGAAATGGATGCTTGTACTTATTTCCATGGTCAAATATTCACAAGAAATTAATGAATATTTGAAATAAAAAGCTTGAGGTCAATCTTAAGTTTGCCAGTGGAGATTTAGTCAAATATTAGAGTGGGCATATGCATATTCTTCACTCTGAGTATACAACAAATTTCATTATAAATAAACAAACGTGCAGTGAATTATTGTTTTACACAGTTTAATTGAAGTTGCAGGTTGCATTATTGTTCCACCCTGGTACAGGAACCATATTTGGAGTAAAAATAGGATGTGACTGCCGAAGTGATACAATAATTTGGAAAAATTGTAGAGCATCTCAACTCTGGATGGATTTTGAAAAATACCAAATAGCAAATAATTATTGCCCTCTTAAAAATCTTAAAGTCCCATAGCCTACAATGAACACATTTGATACCTAGAATCAAACATACATATTCAAAGCATATTTGTTGTTCATGTTATGCATAACTTATGCTTAAATCTTAGAAAAAATGTACAGTTTATATTCTCACTTAAGATAAAAAACAAAACACTTATCTGTTTTATTTGCAACAATGAAAGATCTCTTTAATGGATTGCATAAAGAAAACAATGCCTTTCCAAGATGTGAACACATTAGGTCGTAAACTCAAACGCCATATTCTAAACACAAATCTGTAGTTGTCCAAGCATGTTTATTTTAAAAGCTGCAACATATTAAAAAAGTGAAATTACTGTTAAATATTTGCATGTGACCAAAGACACTGAAAAACCAATTTATAGCAGAACTCTTGCTACTTAAATTAACCGTAAGAGCAATTTACAATACAAACATTAAAGAGGGGAAGTCTACCATTAGAAAATTTACTTCTTGGAAAATAGGCATTTTCAGATCTTTTTTGTCATTAAAAATCACAATGTGTTTACATAACCTGACACCGGAAAGGAAAAAAAACCCAACAAAACAGAAGAGAAACAGGGTATAAGACATCAGCACATCCCAATAGTCATTTAAGCCAGGGAACAACAACATTTTTATTTGAACAAAATCGTCCATGCAGAACAAAACAGCAAAGCACAGCACTGTATGTTGTTATGGACGCCTGTGCATGTCTGTATCACGTCCCCCCCCGGTCGCTCTCTGCAGGGATTTCACTTTGGAAATGGGGTATAGAGAGGTTTTTCTTCAATGTGGCTGCCAACTCATTGCCTAATTTCGTTCTTCAGACTCACGACTTGTTTTGATCTCTAGTGAGGTGGCAACCATGTTTGCCTACTCGAGGTCAGGCATCTCTGCAAGAGACAAAAATTCCAATGAGGGGAACATTGACAACAATGACAAACGCGGAAACAGCTTAAGATTAAGCGTCAAAAAAATATCTCAATTCAGTAATTAAAATGCAATAAGTGACACTTGATGTAATGTGTATATATATATATATATATATATATATATATATATATATATATATATATATGCGGCACATCCGCAAAGTGTTCACAGTGCTTCACTTCTTCCTACATTTTGGTATGTTACAGCCTTATTCTAATTTGTTTTAAATTAATCTATTTACCACTAAAGAGTTAAATTTTTGTCTCATCAGACCACAGAATCTTTTCTTTTCATGGTCTAAGTCCATTAGGTGCTTTCTGGCAAACTCCAGACACTCTGCCATGCGCTTTATGAAGGAGTGGCTTTCGTTTGGTCACACCCTGACTGGTGGATTGCCGCAGAGATGTTTGTCCTTCTAGAAGGTTCTCCTCTCCACAGAGAGGAGAACACAGGCGCTTTGACAGAGTGACCATTGGGTTCTTCTTGGTCACCTCTCTCTCTCTCTCACCTGATCTCTCAGTTTAGATAGCTGGCTCTAGGGAGAGTCCCGCTGGTTCCAACCTTCCTCCATTTGCAAAGGATTTCTCAACAAGAGCTTCTAATCAGCAGAATTTTTTCCATATCCTTCCCCAGATTTGTGTCAAGACAATCCTCTCCCAGAAGTCTACAAACAATTGCTCTCATTTTATGTTTAGTGTTTGACCTCTGACCTACACTGTCAACTGTGAGACCTCACAAGCGTGAGCCTTACCAAATCAACAATTATATGAACTTATCACAGGTGGACTCCATTTAAGTTGTAGAAACATCTCAAGAATGATAAGTGGAAACAGCTCCATTGTGAGCTTCATGGCAAGGATGTGAATACTTATGTAAAAGTAGTTTCTTGGTTTTCTATTGTTAATAAATTTGCAAAAAAAAAAACCAAACAAACAAAAAAACAAAAACAAATTTTGTTTCCCCACATTGTCATAATGGGGCATTTGGAGCTTACAGCTAATAATCAGATTATTTTTCTTAAATTACATAAATAAAAAAGATTGAAAAGAAGTTGGCTCCCATGAGTGAATGACGTTATACGAGTTTCACTTTAACTGAACTTGTCATACATGTGAATCTTTCAAAGATATTATACTGTCATGTTCTTCTACGTATAAAGAATGATTTTCCTCTGTCCTCACAAAGAACAAACTACAACTTTGCTGTTTTTTCTTTTTTCTTTCTTTAAAGTCATACTTACTTTCATCATCGCTGTCTGCAGAATCATGCTGAAACACAAAAACAAAATTATGGGAACTTGGATTTCACCTGGTAAACTTCAAGAAAATCATCAGAAAATAATAAAAATAACTCATACTTCTTCTGCACCGTATTCTCCACCATCTAAATCGGGTAAATCATCTCCACCCATGTTGTTCATCATCTGAAGAAAAAGGGGGGAGAGGGAAAGATATATGGCGCACATAAATCAGCATGTCTTTTTGTAATGTTTGTAAGACGTTATAACTGTTGGAGTTGATTTGAATTTTGTGCTTCATTTAATTTAGTTTGCGTCTTAAGGAATACCATCATGTCTTTATTGTAATGTCTGTGAAAGAAGATTTAATTGTAATTTTTGTTGTGGACCCCATTAGTCTCTACTACGGTAAAGGGAATCTTTGATCTTTGAATAAACAAATAAGTGCTGACAGTCTTTTACTCGATTACCTCCGAGAAGTTGTCAAAACTTGACATGTCCTCATCCGAGTCATCTTCCCAGTCCTTCCAGTTGTTGAAATCCACACTCAACCATTTAAACTAGGGGATGGAGCAGAGTTATACAATCAAAAAATACTATTTACCTGCACGTAAACAGCATATTGTCAAATTCACTAAATGAATAACTTTGTGTAGGGCTTACATACTGTACAACAAAATTAAGATCTTTTAAAAGATCACACAATGTAGAAAATAAGTGAAAAAACTTAAAAGACTTAAAGTGTATTTAATACATTTAAAAAGAAATAAAGCTCCATTATTTATCTGTTTCACTGCAATTTAACTCAGTAGCAACAGATTTCTTGCACATTTGTAGAAGATGATGTCATGATCTAAACACCTGAAGACAGTAGAGTTTATTTCCAAAAGACAATCCCTTTTCTTTTTTTAAGTTTATGAAAAGTACTTTTGAACAGCGGTGTGAAGACGTTTGTTTGACAATAAGCAGTTAAGGAAAAATGCATTAAATTTAAAGTTACCTTTGCTTTTTCTTTGGTAAGTCGTGGCCATGATTTCCCAGCTTCTGCTTTTCGTAAACAACACTGCACAGACCTGTCTGTGCGGCTGTGTTTCGATTGCTGTAAATTACATAGATTATAAATTTATTAACAGCCCTTGAGAAGTAAAACTCATCCTAAAACTTTAACTAGTTCTGCAGATGGTAATCTTACTTTGGGATCAATTTCCCCAAAAAGCTCAATTTCATTGTTGTATTTGTCTTTTCCGCTGACACACCTGTAAAAATGACAGAAAGGGAGGTCACCATACTTTCCAGTACACCCAGTTTTCCTTCAATTTGGTCCACACAGATGACTGGATTTCACAAAACACAACACATTTTTATACAAGTACAAAAAGACTTACCATCTAGTGTACTTTAAATACAACTTACCTAAACTCAAATTTTGACTTGTCCAATTGGACATGTACATCTTTACTGTCTTCCACGCAGAACTCAACAAAAACAAAGTCTCGTCTGTCATACCATTTAGCTGTGGCACTTAGGGTGGGAAATAATCCATGCTGTGGCAAATGGGCCATGCTATTGATGAACAGAAAGAGGGAATTAACGACAACATATTTCCTTTTTACATTAGGCTGATCTGCTGGGTCACATGTGCAGGGTGAAGCAATCAGTTATGTTACATTTTATTACAGAGAGAAAACCTATCATACAATCACATCTTTAAACGATTTAACAGGGCAAGACTGAGTGCTTTTGGTTTTATACAAGGAAGATTTCTCAGCAACTTTGCTAGGAGGCAAAACAGTTGTGCTTTAACGTACAATTGTTGTAATCTGTGTTTTTTTGAATGACCAACATATATACTGTCAAATATTTGTCCTGAATTACACTTAATGGTTTTGAACGAGGACATGTGTTACTTTAACTCAAAGTGAAACCTTCACACCATGACGGCATTCCTCCTCGGCTCTAACTTTAACCTAGTACTGTTAGTTGACTTTAGCCTGCCAGCTAATGTTAACTTAACTGATATATGGGGCGCATACAACGTAAGCTACAATTAAAAGTTTGGGACTAGTTGGAAAAGGTTATGTTAAGCTACAAGGGTAGGTAGGTTTAACGATTTGTGTTGGTTTTTATTCCTGTAACAATAAATGTTAACGGCACAGCTAATGCTAACTCGTGTGCTAGCTCAATGAGCTAATGTTAGCTAGTTGATCCGCATTACAGCACTTCAAAGACTAAGCGCTTATTAGCAACAAGCGACTGCTAGTACACAAATAAATGAGACTTACATTTTTACAGTGTAGCAGGTGAACTTCTTCGTCTGACTACGGGCTATCTAGAGGTGTTATATAATAAAAACCCGGGCAAATGTGATGACTGAAACCTTAACTCTGAGGTTTTCAACCGAAACGTTGAAGTCCCTTAAAGTATCGCGGAGTTTTCGTGATATCTCGAGAGGACGTTACCCGCCTGCTTGGAGCGTGGGCACGCGCTGTGAGATAATTCTAGAAAAAGCGTGTGGCGCAACAGCGCCAACTGCTGCTTAGCCACAAGTAATTCATGATAAATTCAAACATCCACCGGATAATTTCGAAAAAACAAATCCTAACCCCTTCGATGGACTGGCGACCTGTCCATCGTAGGGGTTATACACTAGGGACAAGGGTGTAAGAAAATGGATGGATGGATGGATGAATGAATGAATGAATGAATGAATGAATGAATTATCCCAGCCAGTGTGCATTTAGACAGTGAAGAACCCGGAGAGAAACCACAGAAAGGACAACATGGAAGTCCACCAGATTCCGGGAGGGGGTTCAAACCCAGACAACATATCAACTATGACACTGTTCAGCTCTGACATTGACCAACAAAACTAAAACTAAAAAGCTAACTGTGAAATTACAATATGTAGATGGATGTGCTTCAATTGAAAATAACAACCTTTAAGCAAGTATTATACTATTTTTCATTAAGTCCCTGTTCAGTGTGGACTTTCACATGTATTTTTTTAATGTAGGGAAATATTCTAATCTAAAGTGTTCAATTTCCACTAGCTGTAAGCAAATTATTTTTATAAATAACACAAAGGGCTGAAAACATTAGTGTGTAATTGATCTGTGTAGCGTTTCATTTACTGAATTAAGTTACAGAAATAAATGAGTTTTCTAGAAATATAATTTATTGAATATGACTGTGTATATAAAATATTCACAGGAGTTTGTATCTCCAATCCTCTTGCAGGCAAGTATAAATTATAAAACAATAAAAACACATAACCTTCTAGTCCAATCAGGTCCTCTGGTTCTAGTGTAATCTGCTTCCCCAGAACTAGTACCAAACACAGGGAAACAGCATTTATTTTCTAGAACTAATTTTCAGAGAACTGCAAAAATGCTGAAACACTGAGGTTCTTCAAATCAAAACTAAAAAACCCGTCCGTTTTTATAGCTGCCTTGGCTGTTATGTTTTCATGGTGCGTTGTTGCTCAAATGTGCTGTATGAATACCCTTTACTTGACTTGTACTGAAACTACATGACCTTCTGAGAGTGTATTATCAAGAGGCTAAAATGAAAACATTTTTAAAGCTTGAGTACATCTTTTATTGGATAAAATACTCAATTTTATATATTTCTGAGACATAGCAACCCAGTTTTCTAAACGACAACTGGATCCTAAAGAGACTGAATGCAATTTTTGACCATCTTCAAAACTCATGTGATTTTGTTCAATAAAATCACTCAGTAGCTTGGAAGCCAAGTCATGTAAAATATTATGTACAACTAAAACAACTGCACATTTAGATAAATACCCCCAAGGCATAAAACGTTGTTAAAATTATACAATGATAATGATGGTTTCACTTTTTATTAATTATGTTTGATACATTTCTTACAATTATCTATCTAAGAATTGTTTATTCAGAATAATTCTGACCTTGTGAAAAACTCCAATTGCAGTATTGCATGTTACCACAGCCATTTGATATTTGTTGATTCTTTGTCTATGTTGCATCTTGCTTTTGTGTCTCTTTCTTTTCAAACATCACTTGTCAAATTCCCTTTTATTGATAAAGCAATTCAGACGCCATTGTGGGAAACTACAAAAAATGTTGGAGATGGCAGAGAATGCAGTGGAACTGTAATTACTTACTGAAATTTGAGTTGCTGCTGGGTCAGTGTCATTAAAATATTGCTTCACGATGAAACAAAACTTTATGGATTCATTAAAGTATAATGAAAAACGTCAAATTTACTAGTGTCCCCCCCTAAACCCGCAGATTCAAAACCAAACATATTTTATCCATACAATAAAGGCACTGGGTTCTGTGTATTTACAACCAACTAATCCTTTAAATTAGCCATTACTGAAGAAAATAAATGCATCAGTTAAATCTAATTTGCCTCCAGGAGCTTTCTGCAGTAGCTCTGTAATTAGAAAGGGGGGATTAGCTATTGCTCACTGTGGTGCCAAGCCGTTTCTACCAGTCTCGTTGCACGACAGTAAGCCATAATGTGGTTGTTGTGATCTTGACACCTAATTACCTTTTCTTTTGTGTGGTCCAGATGAGTGAACGTTACCTACCGCTCTGACTATAATTATGCCATTTGTAGAATTCGAAAAGTACATTGTTGCAAATCTGGCTTTGGCTTATAGGTGCCATGAATACAAACAAACAAAAATGGATTAATCTCACACTGCAAAGCACTTGATGTCTGCAGAAATCTTTGTGCAATGCAAACAGCATGAGAGGGGCTCAGGTAGTACTTCAAAAGAACTGCTTTTCTTTTGGTCAATTGTTGAGCCACATGTTGCAAAAAGATTTGCAAAAGCAGTTTTTGATATCACCTATTTTCTCCCAGCCTACCCAAGGAACATGTAATTTTTCCTGGCTAAAAACTCCTTACAGGATTTTCTGTCCAACAGAGAGCAAAGACTGCAATAAAGCCAGGCACAAATCCAATAGCTGCTCCAATTCCAGTGAATAATGGAACAATCTAGCAGACAATGCATGCAGCCACAGGGGTTTTATGACAATAAGTGATCATATTTCATATATTTAAATTTAACAAAATATCCACAGAGGACAAAGTGAGTCATTGAATCGGTTTCTGAGAGAAGATTGAAGAAAATTGAACAATTGCTCATATTCTGGTAATCCATTATTGGACTGGAACTGTTTTTTAAAAAATAGCCAGATATAACAGCTGACCTTTTAAAGGGTTTTAAGACATATGGAGAACAATTTAACATAGAAAAATAAAATTTAAATGTGAACTCAAATAGTGTCTTTGGTCTTCCTCTGATAGAAATGAAATTGTTGACAAACCAACAACTAATCTCATTTAGCAAGTCAAAAAAAAAGATAAATTAATGTAGATTGCAACTGCTATTTTCCAAAACTCTAAATTAAAACCCAAAAGAGACACATATTGCATTAATATTGCCACTTTTTAGTGGCACAGACTTGAATTTGACAGAGAATCTTCAGAGAGAGCTATCAGTGTGAAGACATGGATCCAATCTCAAATACAGGGAAGTTGTTACAAAAGACAAATCATCAACATCAACTGGCCTTATGTTGCTCTGCCTTCCACACATGTGACATTGAATGAATGACTAATAGGGTTTAATATCATGTGTGTCATTATTCTTCCAGAAGCACATAAATGTGTTTCTTGTTGGACAAGAAGGCCTGGTTCAAAATACAGCAATTCATTCTTCAGGACTATGTAAACCACCAAGCTCAAACATAAAAGAATCAAATCAACACTCCAGGTATGTTTTTGATTGGGTATAACACTTTAGTATATTGTAAAGCAAAAAATAAAAATAATAATAAAATAAAATGATTTTAATACTGCCTCTTTAATACTGATACATGTTAGTGTTGGTTTCATATGTTTCTTGTTAAATATATGTTTTCTCTGCCTAAATTTGACATTCTGTAATTATGTTTAGTTGTATTAATTTTATTACATTTTATCTGCATACAACTATATTTTCCATCTGTTCTGACTTCACTTTCAAATATTAAATAAGGTGTTATGATCAGATATTTTGTAAAAAGAAATAGCCATACGAAATATTTCTTTACTCTTAAATTAGTAAATTTGGATGAGTATTATACATGTACCTCAGTTTGGCTTCACGAAGTCCTTGGATTGTCTGGCTACTAAGGGGGGTCGTATTTCCACTGTATTTAAGATCTCTATTATGGTATTAAGTGAAATGTGTACCCAGATAAAAGTGGATAAAAGTAATTCCGGTATTGGAGTGGGTATTCCCTGTGGGCTCATGTCTTTTGCGTGGAATTTTTTTTGTGCACTTCATCACAGCTTACAGTGGTAATAAAGGCAACATGAAACCACAAAAACTATGTAATCCACCGTTTACTGACCAATCATGTCATACCAATGACGAACTTCCTGGTTACATTTTCATCATGTAGGTCCCTTCCTTTTCCTCCTCCTCCTCCTCCTCCTCTATGAAGTGAAGTCTATTTGCGCCGCGCAGCTGACAAAAATGACGCGACCACGATTGGATGAAAACAGGTTGGAGTAAAAGGAAAAAGGCAGAGTAAATTATCTGAGAGGACAGCGCAGGCTCACGGCTCAACGTGGCTGAGGCTGATAAACGGACAGCGTCGGTGAATGTTTTTCTACTTTGTGTTGACGCCTACAAGGACACAGGAGCGCAGACGAGACCGAAAACGAGAGGAAGGAGGTTGTGGATTCAAATGAGTTTTTTTTTTCTTTCTTTTTTTTTTTTTGTATCTTAATCCGGGAAAACATTGGGATATCATGGCTTGACCACAGCAGGCTCTTCACCATTCTCCGACGATAAACTGCAGTGAGAAATAAAGGCCCTCTCTCTCTCTCTCTCTCTCTCTCTCTCTCTCTCTCTCTCTCTCCTCGTTTCCTTCCGCAGATGGAGCTCAGAGCTCTTTAATCCAGCCTCACAGCTCCCTGACAGGCAGTGGAGAACAACTCAGAAGGGTGAGAGGTGGATATGTGCACAGAAGAAAGCGCTTTAGTGATTCATGCTGTTAGAAATTTGACGCTAATGTTGCCACATCGCTGAAATCCCCGCTCGCCGTTGCGCTGCCAGCTGTCTCTCTATATATGTATGTATCTGTGCTCCAGACCTTCAGTTTCTCTCTTTACTTCTGTTCAACAGGACGCTTTATTCGCACTTGGAGGAATTTATGGGATCACAAGGTAAGATTGTTGGATCGATACTGGGTCTGTCCTTTTCGGATGATTCTGTCAGTGCATGCTTTCAGGGTTTGTTTTTCTTTCTTTCCTCTACACAACACAGGCTTTAGTTGCTGTTGTTTATAGCCTAAACATCCCAGCAGCTAACGTGTTGTCATCAGCCTTTATGTTCCCTGAAGCAAATACTTGTTCTTTAAACATTTAAATTGTCACCCTTTGTTGAGCCGCAGACACATTTCTTGAATGTCGCACTGTTTTATCTCTCTCAATATCAGCAGATTAAGCAGATGTGAATGCAACAAAAGGAGGAGAACTCTTGGAGCTATATTTGAGCTAAAGCTAAAGTAATCCCCTTAATACATGTTAAAAGCTTCAACCTGGCTTGTGCATCACTGCATCCATCAGTTTAAAGTGCAAATGACTGTGAGCAGGGCCGACCCAAAGTAGAATAGGGCCCTAAGCAGAATTCAGTTTTGTAACCTACTTGCAGATTTATTATTATTAAACAAATTAGAAATGAGACTTGCTTGTCAGATTAAAACTGTCTTTTGAACATTTAAGGAGCTGTTAATGATGCTTTTCATTTAGCCAACATTTCTGTATTGAACTTTTGTACTGGCGTGATGTAATACTTTAATTTTCATAGTGTTTTCACTGGCTGTAAGCAAAACAAACATGATTAACAGAAATAGAGGCTTGAAAACATTAGTTTATACGGCTGTAATTAGGCTTTACTGACTCCTTGCCCCTCCAGGCTAAGTATCATTTGTAATTTTATTTTAAATAGGTTGTTTTACCTACCCGTCACAATGAAGGCACAGAAAGATTAAGCTAGGTGTATAGTTGACGCATCGAACTGGGCTCAAGGGGTTGCGCGCCAATCGCGACGTTCCCGTCCATACAAGTTGGCCTTTCGGGCTGTCATGGTGCCTATTCACCTCTGAATTTTTAGAAATTGCCGTGGATCAAGTGTGCCACCTTTCACTCAAAATGGTCAGTTTGGACAGTGATCTTGCAGAGCAGATTTGAATTGATACAATCCATCTATAAAGATGATCTTTTTGGAGAACACTGCACCAACGAACGTGTCAAGTATACAAAGCTCACAGCTTGCTCAGCTTGCATGTGCTCAATGCGAACCTCTAAAAGCGCAATTATAAAGGCTAAGGTATAATTGTGCTTTTAAAAGACTGCAGTTTGACTGATGTGAGCGCATATATTTTGTAATCAAAGAATAATGGGAGGTGTGGGCGTTTACGTCTCACACTTGTTCACTCGGTAGGTGTTCTGGGATGTGCATGGATTTCTCTTATATTACTTTTTCATGTTACCACCATTACTTATTTTAAGAGATCCACTGGCTGATTACTTGGTTAAGATTTAACTAGAGTGCAAAAAATATATTTATTCTAATAGCATTTTTTGTGCCTGCTATTATTTAAGATTCTATAGTTCATTGGGGTCAAACTCATTTTCATCAAGATCACGGATGTCCTCAGAGAGCCAGTTGAGGCAGAATGTATTGATAAAACTACCCATCAACAAACTTTGAAAGTATTAAATAGCTGTCTCTGAATTCAAGGAATATGTCTTAAAAGTCTAATACTGATCATCTTTTCACGTTGATGTAATTTGACAGTAACAGATATTAACTGCTTCGATTGGCCCGGGGGCCATAGTTGTGCTGTAATTGGATAAAATAACTATTAACTGATATGCAGATCTTATATAAGATCTATACATCAGAAATAGAGGCTTGAAAAGATATTTATTGCATAATACAAACAGAAATTCAGGTGTAGTTTATATTCAACTGGTGAAAGCTTGTAACCTAAAAGCTTCAAAACTGCTAACACTCAGTTTTCTTGTGTACTGCCACAAATATTCAACGAAGAAAAAAAAAATCTGGAATCAACGTTTTGTCTTTTCAGTGGTTACCATAGACACCAGTTAATTAACATGTAGCAGCCCCTGTGTTTCAGCAACATTCGTAGTTGCAGAACATTCACCTTAAGCAGCAGCTTACTTCATTTATCCCTTAAACCGGCTGCGGTCAAGTGAATAAGTTTTATAAGCTGCAATGAGTTTTATGTGCTCCTCTGTGCAGTTTCCTCTGATGAGATGAGTGTGCGTGCTGGCCAGGGCAGTGATGAGGTGCTAGTTTCTCAGGCAGTTTGGGATTACCTGGCTGCAGCTGGGCGGCCCTGGCTCATTGACTTCCAGCACAAGCAGGGGATGAGCGCCGGCATCGTCAGGCGAGGAGAGAGAGGGGGCTGCTGCGCTGTGCGGCTGCAGCCGGTGGAAGGCTCGAGGAGCACCAGATCTGGGATGATGGATGGACATATCTCTAGCGAGACGCGAAAAGCCTTCATTGACTTATGCCGATGTGCCCGCAAAGAAATGAGCAAACAGGAGGGAGGACCCAAGAGGAAGAGGGCTCTGCTGCCTTGCGTGGCGGTCCTGGAGCAGAACGGAGAAGGGAACCTCCAGGCTCCACCTTCCCTGCCGCGGCGCTCCCAGAGACAGCAGCAGAGGTTCAGGAAACCTGCCGACGAGGAGGTGTGTGCCATGCTCCACGAGGCCTCTCTGAGGAAAGACATGGACTCTGGCATTGGTTCCCACAGTGAGGCCGAGGACAATGGCATTTGCTCAATTTGCATGGGGGACATAGTGGAGAGGACCACCCTGGAGAAATGCGGCCATTCGTTCTGCCGCTCCTGCCTGGAACGAGCCTTTAAGGTTAAGCAAGCTTGTCCCGTGTGCAGACTGGTTTATGGCCAGCTGGTTGGGAACCAGCCTGCCAATGGTTCGATGATGGTGGAGCGGGACCCTGATATGGAGCTTCCTGGCCACGAGGGCTACGGATGTATCTGCATCATCTACAGCTTCCCTCCTGGAGTGCAGACAGTAAGTAGCGTCAGGTGCGGATATAGACTCTGAGCAATGCAACTTATTCAAAAGCCTGAAGCATAACCTTCCTCTCTTGTCCAGTTATTTTTATCCCCAATTTTTTCAGCTCTATGAAATTAAACTGAATCTATAAGCACACCACACTTTTCAGGGTTTTTTATCCGTAAAAGATAAAGCAGAACAAGACTCATTCTTTTCATTCACTTCACAATTATGCGTTTTTTTTTTGTTTATTTTGTTTTTGTTGGGTTAAAACAAAAAAAAATTTGTTGACTTTCAGCACTTTGTGGTTGTAACCTAACAAAATGTGAAAGAGCTCATAACATGCATTAATATTCTCTTGAGTTAGATCTAAATCTAGTCTCTTCAAACATTAGGCAGTCAAACAGTCTTATTGTAACACCTTATGGATACAAAGAGCTTAAATGACTGAAGATTGCAAACAAAAAATCTGCATTTATAGCCTTAGCACTTTATACAATGCTGCTACAATTTAATTTCCCGTACATTTTATTTTCGTTTAAAACCAAAAACAAAGTTGTATTTGTGCTCCATTAATTTCACTTTCTCTGACATGACCGTGAAACACTGTCAGAAACTCAACACTGTGTTTTCCCATTGATGTCATTTTCTTTTCACATTTTTTGATCCAAAGCCAAACAACACCTAATGAGTTAGACAGCATTGTTCCCGTACTGGAAAATCTGCTTTTCATTTACGGAAAGTCAAATAGGTTTTAAGCTTCCCCATTCAAGATAACGTCTGCAGGTTTACGTCAACATGTAAGCGTGACTGATGTTCGCCATGGTCCTCGCCTTGTGAATCACCTCTGAGGAAGTGTAAAACATTTGCTGTTAGGTGAATAAACTTAAAGCTACACTGATTCACATCATACGTACTATTATCATCGTTTTATTCTGCTGATCAACATGAAGTATTTCTCAGATTAGCTGGACATTGGAGGATCAAACAGAGTGTTTGAATTGCTACTGCTGCTGTCTTTATTTTGCTTCATATTCTTCTCTTCTTTCATCTTCTGATGGCTATTATGGCACTCAAAATCACTTTGACCTTTTATGCACTTTGATACAACAAACATCAAACTATTTTGTTTGAATTTTATGTGATAACCCAAAAGAAAGTGGTTTATCCACCTTTTAACATGATGCTTCTAAATGATGGGTCTTCAAATGCAGGCTTCAGGGGATCATTTTCTGCAATTTTTTGATGCGTCTCTGGTCCAACTCACCTGAATCAAATGGCAGAATCACATCCTCAGAATACAGTCGAGTTTTCCACATGGCCTCATTATTTGAGTCAGGTGTACTGAAGCGAAGACGCTTCAATACACCTTCAATACCGACCCTCGAGGCCTGCATTTGAAGATCCTCCATCTAAATAAAGTCCTGTGAAACTCACTGCCACCAGAAATTGCCTATTTAATACATAATTAAATCCCAGTGTCAGTACGGCTTGTTTGGTCGCAAAAAAAAAAAATCACCAAAATGCATAAATTTAGGTTCATGTGTACAAAATTATAAAATAAAGCTCAAAGGGCTTAAGCTGATCATTGAGGCGCACAGCTCATGGGTAGATCTTTGATTAAAATGGTGACTTAAGATGATTTCAAACATTTTACTCAAGAGGCCGTCTCTTTAAGGCCAGACCATTTAAAGGATGGATTGTTTGGCATTTGATTCATGAAATGACTGATTCCATAACAGACGTTCGGTGTTTATTTGACACTTGCTACTTAGTTGGCATTTTTTAAACGATGCACGAGGATGTAAAGGGAAAACACGCCGAACTTATTGGTGCAGTTTCACACCGTGTCTGATTCATTTTACCCACAGCTCGATCACCCAAACCCTGGCGTTCGATACCCAGGAACAGACCGCGTGGCCTACCTCCCTGACAGCCCAGAAGGGAACCGCGTGCTGGGCCTGCTGCGTCGGGCCTTCGAACAGCGCCTTATCTTCACCATTGGTACCTCCATGACTACGGGCCTGCAAAATGTCATCACCTGGAATGACATTCACCACAAGACATCCATATTCGGCGGGCCACCCTGGTACGTATCGGTTGTCTGGTTTTTGGAGAATCCTCGACAAGGGCGTTCAGTCTGTAAAGAAAGGCTTCGGTGGAAATGGATGGATTAAAATGCAGTTACATGGTACTTTTTGTTGCCAGTTGAGCAAAACAAAGGAACTTTAGCCACTTTTTCCTTCTTTTTACAGCTTTGGCTATCCAGACCCCACATACTTGGTGCGCGTGACAGAGGAGCTCAGAGAAAAAGGCATCACCATTAACTGACCACATGAGACCTCCAGGACTTTGTTGGACTTTTCCTTGGACATGTCCTCACTGTGGACCAAGCTGCAGGATTTGCTCTCAGACTGCCTGATGCCTAAAAGATCGCTGAAGATAAAAAAAAAACAACAAAACAAAAAAAACAAAAAAAAAGAAAATCACCTCATCAGACACACGTCTATTGCTGCAGAAAAATCCATATCTCCTCCACTGCTGTTCCACTTTGGTTATTTTTCTCAAGTCATTCAGTGCTACACGTGGAAGAGAATACTCTTAAATGCAGTGCTAATCCTCAAACCCTCACTGCTGGCACCAGGCCTAACTTCTAATGCACTTATTTAGGAGCTTGTCAGAATTAATGTTACAAGATATTATTTAGATAATTTAAGTTTAGTGACATTTAAGTTAGATTCTATTAATGTTCATTTCCCTCCTTTGGGAGTACTTTTAAGTCTTAAAAGCACATGTTTGGTTGTGTCTCCCTGAAGTGTTTGTTGAACAAGTTTGATTGTTATTAATTACCTGTTGTGATGATTGTACTCGGTTCGTACGGCAGAAGAGCACTGCTTTTAGCAACAGATTTACAGTTCTGATGTTATTGCAATCTTAAGCACTCACAGGCACTTTGGTAACTATTATTTTTGTTTTAGTGAAGTAGAAGTAGTGGAAATCTGCTTCCTCTGAATGAAGGATGCTCAAAGCAAACAGGTTTATGCCGCCATCAGCTATTAGCTGGCAACGCTGCTTAGAAAACATTACGCGTGACCTTTTATCTCGGGATGTACTTAGATTTTTTTTTTAAATAGGAGGAATGTTAAACGATGTCTCACGGCAGCACCTTTCAGCAAGTGTTGGACGTTCCCACTGTGTTTTCTTCCCCCAGTTGTCACTCCTGTTCTTTCCAAGATGTCTCTGAGGGGTTCGGCCCATTACCTCACTTCGATAGGAACACGCTGGTCCGAATTAGCAGATTTATGACGATGTCAACTTTGAAGGGCATATAGATCACTTGAACCAAATCAGAGGCACAAAAGCTCTTTAAATATCTATGCTTCAGTTCCTTTCAAACTAGGAAATTTGCCTATTAAAATCGTTTTATTCGAAATGAGCTAACTGCTGTAAATCTATCAATGTGTAACCAACAACAGGAGAGTTTAGTGATTGATTTGATTAGAGGCGAGTCACTGATCTCATTTTCTTGTGCCTTCCTTATATTCATTTTTGATTAAATAATCAGCCATGACGACTTTGGCGAATGTTGAGGATTTTGAGTGCTTTTGCAGTGCTGTTTGATTGTACAGAAGCCTCCGGTGTCTATTACGCAAATACTCCGCAGTATTAAATGTAAAACCTAATCTGGTCCAAAAAAATATCACCCCCCCTTCTGTCCAAAACTTTTGCCTACATTAATTTTAGAAATAGATCCCAGTCTTTAAGCGTGTATGTGCTTTGCAAATCCAGCAGCCATTTTGTTTTTGGCTGAAAATAATCACTGATTTAAATGATCACAACGACACATCAAATGCTTTTGTTATGTTCTTGCCCCTTTCATATTTTAGTTAAGGGACCAATCGATACATTTTTGGGACACAGGATTGTAGTTAATCAAAGCTACTGTGCACACCTTTCTATGCATACTGAACCTGAAGAAGGGGAAAAAGAAGAAGTAGATGGCTGGATTCCATATTTTGCAAATCGAATGTTAAGTAAAACAAAAATCTGTTCTGCTTTTATAATTGTGTTGATTTGTACTTCGTTGGTATTCAGAATGATGTGGCCACATTTTAATACTTGAATAAAAGTTCTGTTTGGGTTTGTCCACGATGTTCAGTGTGGGTCCTGAATAAATGCTGCCGAGTCCCAAGTAACTGATGATTCTCTTACAGCAGCGGAGGTCATTGCTTTCAACATTAACAAAGCCTGTAGTCATAGGCTTTCTATGACTACAGGTTTCTATATATTTTTTTATATCTTACATGTAAATTAGTAAGCATTTATTGTTTTATGACCAAAGCTATTAGTGCTCTATCCTCAAGAAGTTAAGGTAAAGAAAATACAAAATTATTCTGGGAAGTCTTGCATTTTAATGTTTATGACTGTTGCAAACAGTTAAAATCAATAAATGATACACAGTGTTTAAAAGACTTTGAACATGTAGGGTGGAAGAACAGTGCATGTGAGAGACTTTCATAATCTTAAACAAATATTTGAATTATTTCCTTCACGCTAAGTAATCTTGCACAATTTTAAGGCCACAAGAAAATAAATAAAAATAAATACAAAGTTAACAACAAAAATTCTTCTATGAACTACTAAAAAGGCTAAAAGCTGGATAATGTTTTCTAGGAAAATTAACATAAATAGTTGACCATTAAATAAAGAAATAGGTAAGGGCACTTAGCTATGTCTATGTGTGAAATAATCTTATCCATCTTCTTCATAACATTCACATTTTTGATAGTAATGATAATCACATATTTTAATAAGAAATTAGTTGGGTTTTTTTGCTTTTAAAGATAGGCTGTTCTAAAGAGAGAAAAAAAATAGAGGATAAGATATAGTGGTACCTCTGGCTGGAAGCAAAAGTCTAATTCAAGGTTTCAGAGTATACCTTTATATTCTGAAGAAAGTCTGGAACACGTTCACTTGAAAAGCTTGCTGAACTGTGTTCAGTTTGAAGAGGTTCGGGTCCGAAAGGGCAATTAATGTTTGCAAGAAAAAAAGAAAAAAAGGTGAAAAAAACAAACAAACAAAAACTCAATCAAATATCAGTCCATACAAGGTAGGAGTACCATCAGCAGCGTACTTCATCAACAACCAACAATATCAGTACCCTATGTGGAATAGATAAATCCAGTTCTTTATATGCATTAAAAATAAACATTTTCTGATCATACACTGCATAGTTTTACAGTCTCAAGAAACAACAACAATCTTTAAATTTCTGTGCTTTCTCATTTTGAATTTTGGATATGATGAGTAGTTTTCTTGAAGAAAATCACAGAAGAGTCAAGTCATGTTCATTGTAGAGAGAAATGTCTCTCCGTATTTAAAAAAATCTAAAAAGGGAGTAACTTGTCTTGGCTCTGACCCAGTGTAGAAAAACAAACCTTGACTCATCAAAGGATGAGTCAGAAAGCAAAAGTCCTAGGGAAGGAGGCGTCATGAGGGACTGATCAACCAATCCGAGGCTGTCATTTCAATGTCAGTATTACACAGCAAAGGAAAATGGATTATATTAACAAAACCAAAATGCCAACAAAATAAGATAACAAATCATCCTTTGGTGGATACTTCTATTTCTTTAATAAAAACTTCTCATGACTAGGTGGTTTCACTTTCAAGGTTCAAACATTTTCTATTAAATGAAAAGGCAGGTTCACATGTCAGATTTCACAACATTTGAAGTTTCTACTAACCGGCAGATTTTTTTTAAACTTAGATCTAGCAAAACATGATCATTTGGACATTTAAGTTTGGCAACAAAACAAAGCCGCTTTGAGCAAAGCACTTGTCAAGGTCTTGGAAGCATTCATATGTTGGAGATTCACTGACATGAACTGAGTGGGGAAGAAGGTTTTATTAAAAGTATCCAGCAAGAGTGTTTTGAAGTGACTTGTAGGAAGCAGTTATGATTTTTCCATCTTTAATAAAAACTAAACATATCATAAATTAATATACCAGCCAATGTAATCATTCTATTGTGCTGTCACCATAAATACAGCAACATGTTGCTAAAATAAGGTGTAATAAATTTTTCTTGAAGACTTATTGCACTAATAGAAAAGTTTATTGCAGGGAACCGCTATATGCTCAAACTGCTTCAACATCTGTGAAGAAGTATTAGCCCCCATGCAGTTTTCTTCTGTTTTTGCTTTTTAGTCACACCTGTATGTTTCAGATCATAGAACAAATTAAAGTTTGAGCAAAAGCGAAAACCAAAGAAACCAATACGGTAGCAATAGTTATTTTGGAAATAACTATTGTGCCTTTTCTGTACTTTTTCTGGTCAAAAAGGATGGACAGGATACCTGTTATAAAATCCTGGAAATAGAGGTGAATGAACAAAAGTCATCACATTTTTCCCATATCCAACCAGCCTCTACAAATGTATTGAAACCCTTGGTAACAAATGATAAAATTAAGGAAAATTGTATAGCAAACACATGCTTTTTTGATGTGCCTACTGACCTTTCATTATTAATTCATGACTTTCTGTTTTTCAGGTCTAGATTACTGCTTAACTGGAACTGTCTGACTTGACTGGATGAAGGCTGAGCATGTCTACAAAAAAACCCCACTTTGAGCCGATCTGGTGTGGAAGATGTGATGAATGTGTGGACCAGCATCTCTCCTACACCGTGTTAATGATGGTGCAAACTACTAAGGATGGCTGGGAATCTGTGATGCTGTGGGCCTGTTTGTTTTCCAAAGAATCTGAGTATCTGATATTAGAAAACATGGTATTATTAAATCTGAAATATCAGGTGATTTTGAATAAAATGGGGTGGGCATGTGAATGGATGTTTTTAACAGGACAATAATAAAAACCTAAGTGCTGTCCTGTTGGCAGAATGGAGTTCATAAAGTAGAGGGAAGGAGTTACTTTTTAAAGAGCTCAAGGTCAGCTTTTCACATGTATATTCTTTAAGAATGAAACCTTATTTAAAAAAATGTAGTTTATTCAGGTTATAAAAAACAGAAGTTATCGCAAACCCACAATAAAGCTGATGTCAAAAGCTCAAATGTGTAAACCTGAAGTATAACGCGAGTGATTTAAATATCAACAGAATGCGTTACTTTACCTTTCATCGCAGCTGTTAAAACAACCTGGGCAGGAGAAATAATAATAAAACGACATACAACCAATCAGAGACGAGTTGTTTACCACTTCCTGGCACATGGGCAGTTTATCATCCAGTAGAGATGAACTAGACGCTCCTTTCTCTTCGTCACAGGTCTGAAGTATCCAACCCCTGAGGAGTCAGACCCAGAGAGGAAGCAGAAATCTGCTAAATGACTGACATTCCGTGGAAATCATGGAGAACCCGGCAAACAACAGCAAGCACGCTGACAGCACGGGAGACTGCGTCATCTGCTTGGAGAGGATTCAGAGGAAGAAAACGCTTAAGTGTCAGCACTCCTTCTGCTCGGAGTGCATCGACTCAGTTTTCAGACTGAAGCCCGCATGTCCGATATGCAACACCTTCCACGGAGTGTACACGGGGACCCAGCCGCAGGGCACGATGACGGTGACCCGCAGCCTACTGAAGCTGCCGGGCTTCGAGAGCTGCGGCTCAATCGTCATCCAGTACAGTTTCCCAGGGGGGATACAAGGGGTGAGTCCGGCAGTTTCCTCACGCTGCTGCTGTTCATATGTTGTTACTTGTTTTGGAACATAGTTATCCAGCAGGGGGCGTTGTGTTTCCTTCTTTAATTACAGGAGGAAAGTTCCTTTTAAGGCGTCCGAGTGAACTCTTCAGATTGACGTCATTACGTTGTTGAAAACAGAGTGTGGACGTAATGATGTGTAAAGAACCGTCCTTTCTGCTTGATTTAACGTTAATACAGAGCTGATTAATAATTGACAGTAAAAGATGATAAATAAGTGGACGTATCATTAGTTCAATCTGGAGAGACTCAAACGGAGAAAGAAGGCGATTAAAAGAGTTTAATGACAAAATGAACATGAAAATAAAAAGTCCTTTGGCGCTCAGGCCCCGGCCGGGGACATCGAGCTGGACTTCGATGAGCTCGATGAACATTCCTGAGGCAGCATAGGAATGTAGACCCCCGGGGCCTGTACTGGTGGTCGGAGGAAGATGAGGCCTGAGAGCCAGGAGCAGAAGGTGGAGATGGGTTGATCGCAGCTGGTGAGCAGAGGAGGCTATGGGTGAAGGTCCTTTTGAACTGAAGCCCAAACGATGATTGGCTGGAGCGAAACTTGGTCCACACCGATAGGTCCAGGTTGCAGAGAGGCGGGCGCTGATTGATGAGGCAGGTGCGACTAGAATCTTCCAGACTGAACTTTTGTCAAGACTCCATTTGTTAAACCATTTTACAACTGTATATTCTTGGGATAAAGTTGGAGAGCAACCAACTTTATCCTCCAAAAAAAGTTGCAACCCATAAAGTTGCCACAATGCAACCCATAAAGTTGCATTGTGGCAACCCATAAAGCATGTCCTTTATACATGGCAAAAGTGGATGCTAACATCATAACAAGACTGAAAAAAACAAAACAGTTTTTCCTCAAAGTATCTGTATTCATGCAGACTGAGCATTTACCTTTATCAAGCCATGTATTTAACTCATGAGATTGTTTGAAGCATTTTCCAGTCAGGTAATATTAACTGATGCAAAACACAAACAAGAAACTTTGCAACCAAATTGTTCTGCAGGTTAAAGCTGTTAGTAAGAGGAAAGGTTCAGGTATTCTTTGTGTAAAGGCCAGTGCTGTACACTGTTAAATATAGATGACCTTCAAGCACTCTGGCAGCACACCATGAGAAACTGGTGGCTACATTTACTCAGGAGTATTTAGGAAGATGATTCAGTCTACTGCACTCAGAAATGTAAACTGAAACTGGATAATGTGAAAGGTACCTGTACATCAACTCTGCACCAAGATGCAAGGCAGTGATTAGCAACAAATATTGTTATTGTTCAAAAAACATAAGATTTCTTCTGCTCTTCTGAAATACTACTTATCTTACACTACTTACTACTTAACAAGAACTGTGCAGTTGGTGAATCTTTCAGAAATGTGATTTTTATTTTTTGTCATTGGTGGTAAATGGATTATAAAACAGAAATTCAACACAAAAGTAAAAATTTGATTTATACTTCGTGGCAGTTTGTTACTAGAAAAAAACGCTCATCTCTTGACACCAAATTAATAACAGGTAATATTATTGTTTATTAAATATAATCTCTTTTGAAATACTGCTCATCTGCTTAGACACAGGAAATTTACCAACTGTAAATTTACCGTCTAAGCAGATAAGCAGTATTATCTTCTTAGACACAGAAAATTTACAGTTGGTAAATTTTGCAAAAGTAAAAATCCGATGTTTACTTCATGGCACGTGGTTACCAGAAAACGTGCTCATCTCTTAGCAACAAATTAACAACAGTTTTTTTTTTTGTTTTGTTCAAAATTGCAAGGCATTTCAATGCTCTCCTGTGCTCTGCTATGGCAGGCCCCAAAAATGCTTGTTACTAATTAGTTCATGGTTAATAATGAGATTTCAGAACTGATGTCTAATTTGATTGAAGAGAACATCAAGACAACCAGGGCCTCAGAAAGTTATCAACTGGCAAAATGAATGTTTGTTTTTTTGTATTTTTATGCTGAAACGTTTTGGTGCTCAGCTAAAAAAAAATGTTGTCTTTATTCCAGGCTGAGCACCCAAATCCCGGCGTGAGGTACAGCAGCACCTCTCGTACTGCCTACCTGCCAGATTGTGCAGAGGGACAGAAGGTCTTGAGGCTGCTAAGGAAAGCATTTGACCGAAGACTTACTTTTACCGTTGGACGGTCGGCCACCACAGGCCTCAACAATGTCATTACCTGGAACGACATTCACCACAAGACCAGCATAAATGGCGGTCCAGAGAGGTAGGCGATCCATCCAGGCTCGACGACGATGCCTGGTATCCTTCTCTCATTAGAAAAGCAGAAAAGTCATTTCAAAACGGAGAGGTGGTTGAAGTCAGTCTTCTTTGTCTTTGTATCTTGTAAGGTAGCTTAGAAGATTTCTAAAGTCTGAATGCTTCCTTTTTGCAGAAGTATCATAAAGACTGTTCTTAGACTCCTCATAAGAGTTTTTTTGACCACTGGACAATTGTTAATCCAGCACTTAACAGAGTCAATAAACAATAACAAATTAGTGACGAAAAGCTTCTTAAAAAAAGACGAGACTTGTTTCTAAAACATAGATGAAGGACTGCAAAGACCCATTTTGCTGTGCTGTTGTTTTCTGTCGACAAAACGGTTGAAAAACATCACACTCAAATCAACTTGAGTCTTAAATTATACATCTCCTTGGGCCTCCAACTCTCATAAACCCTCATTTTCTGCTTTGCTTAGCAAGCTTGGTCCCACTTCAGGGTCTTTTTTAATGCACTCCGCTATTTTTATCTAACTGTTTATTTATTGATGTTGCTGCCTACTTTTCTAAACGTATTTGTATAGTTGTGCATCATGCTTTGCAAAGTCTGTTTGAGCACCACACCGATCTTGGTTCCAGTTGATGTTTATCACTTTGTCACCAAATTGCTTGACTCGGCATTATTACCTCAACTGAAACACTTGCTGTCATTATGGCTTTTCAACAAAACTGCTTCCAAATTAAGGATACTGCTGCTAGTTAGATTTATCCAGATACATGATTTCTAGAATCATCAGGCACAAAGCCTGATGATAAAATAGCAGAGGCCTTGAACAGTTATTTTCTGCATTTGGTGCGTTAGACGTGGTACATTTGATCAGAACTCATTTTCATTGAAAGCTTCTGCTGGCTGGAATAAAATACAGAGAGCGTACAAACTTATGAGTCTTTCAAATACGTTTCTACTAACTTAAAAGCATGGCTCTTAGATAATCAAATATGCAGGCACTGATTATGTGATTATTGTATTGTTTGCATTGTAGTAAGCCGTTGTGCTATATCGCTTTTTATTCTTTTTAGCTGTGTAACTTGACATGCCTCTTTTAGATTAAAAAGTATTTTTTATTTATAACAATAATAATCATTTATTTCTTTTTGGAAGAAACCTGTCTGCGTTCCACGGTAATATCTAGTATTTATATTGATTGTACCTGAAGGGACTAAAACGAGCCTCTATGCATTGTCCCTTTTGAAATAAATAAACCACAACAACTTCAAGGTCAGACATTCAGCTGTTGTGAAGAAGCTCTGTGAAAGTCCAGCAAGTCCGTTTCAGAAAGACTGTGCAGCTAAGAAATCAGGTTTCCACCACTGCAGAGCAGGTGTGAGTTTTTGGCACATGTATTTCTTCTTATTCAAGAAAAACATCTAAAGCAACTTGACATTTTATAGGAAAAACAGCAAATGAGACCTGTATTCTGCTTATAGTTATATAGGCCTGCTTCTTGTGCGAAGTAGTGGACTTACTTTTCCAAATAAACTTCTATGAATAATAAGAAGCAACAAAACATCCTCTAAGAGGAACTTTGTCCAACCGTCCAGCAGCTGTTCAATGCTTTTCCCAGCGTGACGGAGCGTTTTATCCCACGTGCATCAGGGATCAAAATGTTCACGTTTTATTTACGTAGTTAAGAAACTCTTTACATCTTCGTTCTTACGAAAACCAACTCTTGTTGCATAAGCGTGATGTATTTTTCAATGAAATTGTTTAAGACCAGATTAACTTCAGCGATAAAAAAGTAAAACAGTAAAGTTTGTGAAAAAAAATACTTAATCAGTCCCAATGCTTGACCACTACTCAACAAAAAAAAACAAAAAACTGGTTTTCCAGGTACATCAGGAAAGCTAGGATCAACCTTAGTTATTTGGGCTGTCTTTTGGGCAACACTGGCTGCTTGAGGTAAAGAATAAGTTCAGGTAGGTGAAATTATTTATGTTGCATTAACTGTTGGATGGTTTTGCAGCAGCCCTGGAACTCACAAAAACAATGAGATCTGTTTCTCTGCTCGTCTCTTTCTGTTACAGTTTTGGTTATCCAGATCCAGCGTACCTGTTCAGGGTTCAAGAGGAGCTTCGTCTTAAAGGTGTAACAGAGGATGACTGATTGTTCGAAAATATTTATTTAGACAGACTTAGTGCTGCTCTTAATAAAGTTCCCAGTTGCAAATCTGCACTTTTCAACAGTGATGTTCACCACGGATACTTGAAGATGTGTTTTTTTTTTTTTTTTTGTATATGACCTGGGCTAAACTGAGGGAGAAGTTTAGCTTTTCCAAAGATTTTTTTCTGCTTTATTCCTGTTATGTAGCTGATTTACTTTAAGCCAATAAAGCAAGAGGAGTTTTGTATTGATTTCATTAGTATTACTTATTAAACGCATACAGCACTGTTCACATTTGTTAGCAGTCTTGGTAAAAAAGTGTGAAAACTAAGCTAATCTTATGTCACCTTATACTGATCATACCTTGAAAAACACACTGAAAAACATCCTGTTTACCTCCCTGAGTTCTAAGTGTTTCAAGCATCACTCAGGATGTGGTGGAAAAGAGGCTTTCCTGGAACCTATTTGCCTTGGTGGAATGGCATGTTTCCATTTTGAAGAGTAATTAGGAGAAATGGACCTGTATTTATTTACCTATTTATTTGTAACTCCAACAAACAGGAAAAACGTGGAGTTGATTTTGAGCAATACAAAAAAGTAAGGTAGTCATTCAAAATAAACAAAAAAACAAAAATACACTTAAGAGTTGAAAATAATTTTTAGGTGAAGGTTGACTTTTTTGTGGCAGAGGGGTATTAAAGATTAGTTTATTTAAAGGACTTTTACACATTTCTTTTCTTCTTTTTTTCTCCAGGAATGCCAGTAAAATTAGAGAGTGCTATGTTTGTAACAATTTATTTCAAGCTCATTTGCACTGGATGAAAACATAATATGACTGAAAAGTGATTTTTTTTTTTTCTAGGGTCTCTGGCAGAGTCAGATTAATAATCCTGTATATTATTTTGTTGACAATCAGTCTTGTTTAGTCAAAATGCTTAAAATATCTTGTAATTTTTTTGTTCTTTTCCAACTTCCTTCTTAAAAAAGTGTGAAAGCATGCAAACATTTTTTGTGAAAATATATTTGAACATAACATTTCCCATAAAATAAATTTGACTAAATTTACTTTTTATTTTTTAAATACGAGTACAAAAAAACAACAAAAAAAACAGTGCCTGGCTAACGACTAATTAAAGTAAATGACATTGTTTTTTCAAATTAGGTTTATTAGCCTTTCTACAAAAACTGAATTTTGTGTAATATTTTTATTTTTGCAATAATACACGTTAAATGTTTTCGTGCCTTATGCAATATCAGATAAGTTTGTGCCTTAAGAACAATGAGTGAAATGTTTTTTATGCCCTGACATTACCATGCCTGTACACTAGATGGCGGTGTTCTCCTAGTAGAAGCACTGTTAAATTTCGTCGTCATTCTGTTCTCAGCTCTCTCTCTCCCCTCAAAGTTTCCTACCTGATGTGTTTGGGTCCGTTTTCACTGCAACAGTTAGAGAGGAGGTTGCTTTGTCTTACACTAAAATATGATGTTATATTTTGGAGGAATGCGTACTGCTGTGTGGTGATGGCTAAAAGCTGAAAGGGGAAGTTGTTGTTCTTTGTTAATTGTGTGAAGCCCGACGAAATCAGTGCTGGACCAAATATATCCTGTTTAAAACTCGCACTGAATGTTTTGGTCTGGCATTACAGTGCATAAGCTGGTTTTTCAAGTTGCAAACACAAGCATCAGTGTGTTTTTTTTTTTTTTTTAACACAATTTTATGGGATAGACCAATGCAAAATAGCACATGAAGTAAAGGACAATGATTAATGGTTTAAAACATTGTTTCCCCACAAAAACAAATTTTGAAAGAATAGTATAACATTCAACCTTTCCCTTACATGTCTGCTGTTTCTTGGTCTTTATGATTCTTTTTGTTCTCTAACAAACCTCTGAGGCCTTCAAATCAGCTGGATTGATAGAGAGATTAATTTACACAACACAACTATTGTGTAAACTACAGTTTACTAAATTTACTATTGTGTAAATGCTTTCTGAAGTGGCTTCAGAAAGCATTTGATTTTGCTCGCTTTTATTTAGGGATATCAAAATGAATCCAGCTGAATAAAAATGCACACCGCAGTTTGAAGATTTTATCTGGCATTTTTCAACCCATCATATATGATTCTCTCCTCCTTCACTCTAGTTTTGGTCTGTAATGTGACAAATCGTTAAAAAAAAAAAAAAAAAAAAGTTCAAATTTGGTTTTGGTCCAAAAAGAAAAGACCAGTCAGGAAGCACATTTAACTTTTATGTAGTTTGAAAGAGTGCACACGTGATGCAACGGAGTCAGATAGTGGCCTGTTTTCCACTCTGACGTCAGTGTCTGGGGGCATTTCTGTGGCCTGTAGGATCTCGGGGCATCTGCTAACCTCTAATCAGAGTAGGACCCATCTGCCACCCGACCCTGTGTTGCCCCTCTTTCTGCAGTAGTTCATCAGTAAAATTCATCCACATGTCATCATCTGTCCATTCATCAAATAAAAAAACAACAACAAAAGGTTTATTTGAATTGTTTGCATTTTGGTTCTCTTATGTAGAAAGATTGCCTCATAATGCAACTTGCATTTTAGTAATAATCCTAAAAACCCCAAACACACCGAGTAGAGAGGCAGGATTGTGTGTGATACAAAGCAGAATCTAGCGAAAGTAGCACAAAGTAGAAGCATGTCTGAAATTACTTTAGCTTCATTGAATCTAACCTACATTTACACATGAAATACTTCATGTGAATTTGTCTGGTTTGTTGCTATGTGAGGACGTCTCTCTGACATGATATTCTCTGGGGTTAAAGCACAAATCCATTTTGCTTTTGCTAAAAATTCAAATTGAGAAAGATTGATTTTTTTTGTGTGTGTGTGTGCTTTTTATTTTATTAGATTTTTTTTTTTTTTTTTGTGTGTGAAATTTAGTCTCAGATTTTCCTCCATATATTGTTCTGCATGTAAGATCAAAAGTTCAGTTCTGGTCTCATCTGTGCAGAGCAACATCTTCCATAACTCTTCTGTATCCTCTATGCTTGGGGAAAAAACTGCAGAAGGGATTTTTTTCAGACTTTTCTTCAACTGTTTTGCTGCCTTAAAGACCAGATCTGTGGAGAGCATGAATAGTAGTTGGACACAGATTTTCCCTCCTGAGCTGTGGATCTCTGCAGGTCCTCCAGAGTTACCATGGGCCTCTTGGCTGCCTCTCTGATTGATCATAGTCTTTTCATTGCCAGATAATGGATTGAAAACGGCTCTGTCAGATGTTTAAAGTATTGGGTTGTATTATAAAATTGTACCTTGCTTTAAAGGGCTTATGTTGCATATTAATGACATATATTTTGTGTTTTTTTGAATATTGTATTTTTTTTTTCTGCTTTAAGGCGTTTGTGAGTTAGTCTCACAGAATGTTTTAATCTCTGTAACTTATACTTGAATAAATAAAGACCATAATGACGATAAACCCCAGCATGTCTGCTGCGCTCCTTGATCTTCATGATGGTGTTTGTTCACTAATGTTCTCTAAGCAACATCCAAGGCCTGCAGAAACGAGTTCACACTCTGTTGAAATTACACACAAGTGGGATCTATTTACCAACTGGGAGACTTCACTGGGTTTCATCTGCAACCTTCAGGAATGTTTTTATAAAAAGATACTTCTTCTAAACTCAAGAAGTGTTTACAAGGAATGACTCTGCTCTTCTTTATAATGAGCCTAAACAATTGTTTTTCCATATCAAGAAAAGAAAAAGAAATTGTCACAAAAAAAAAAATCAGGAATTATATCAGTTTTTAAGATAAAGCAAAATCCTCTTTTTTTTTTAGATCAACAAGTTTTAATTGATTTTATGCAACAGTTAGATTTGCTATATAAAATGTTTCAAAGTTAGTTAATTACCGAACAGGTAGAAATAAGTTGGTACCAATTTTAACTTTGCTTTTAAAGTTAAAATTATTTTTGAACTTTAAAAATATATTTCATTTTTCTGTGGCCGGTGAGTAAAAAGTGTGGACACCACTGATTTAAGTGTGGTCCAGTAGAGGGGAGGGTCAATTACCCACTGCACAATTTTTTTTTTTTTTTTGTATTTTAGATTGTAATTTGTTGAAAAATCTAAAACCACAACTCATTTTTGGAATTATGCAAAACTTTGTGTTGGTCCATCACACACACACACACATAAAAAAATCTCAATAACTTACTTTGGAGCTATATTGAAGGAAAACAGTGCAGAGGATTCCTAAGAAAATTGAAATCATTTTGTGCCCCTCTGGACAGGTACTTTGCCATTTGGTCCATCTGGATAAGAGGGCAAAGAATGACAACAATGCAAGCGGCTCCATAAATATGGACATAATAAAAAATTTTGCAGAGCAGTAAGGTTTCAAACATCCATCAAAGTAAATTGCCACGAAAAACCTCCCTCTAAACGTTAATAATAATCACCCGAGCTCTCGGCATATGTTTTAATACGGGTGGTAGCTTCGTCCCTCTGATGCTTTAGTTGCTTTTCATCGATTGTTGCTCTCTGCTGTTTTTTTTGTGTTTTTTTTCTGTTACATCCTGCTGCTGCAGAGCAGTAAAAAATAGCACTGAGACTGTTGCTTGCATGCTTCTTGGTGCGACTAGATGTCTCCTTCTGAGACGCTCCCTGGAAGCACGGAGATGCATGCGTACATCCATCAGATGAGAGGCGCGCCGCTTTTTCTGCGCTGCGGTTGATAAGAAAATCATTATGTGACAATGCAGAGCTGTTGTTCTCCGCTCGCTCCATGCTCCTTAATTAGAGGGTTTTTTGGCTGTGAGGAGGGAGAGCCGTGGCACACCGCTTTCCTCCCTCCCTCTTTCCTTGTCTGCCTACTCATCATGCTAAAGGTGCCCAACTACAGACAAACTACCTGTGAATTGTGCACTCCTACTTTTATTTCCTCTTCTCTGTAATGAGAATCAGCTCCAGCAGATGCAACCTACTTCTGCATGCCTTTGAAGGTATTTTATATCTTCACCCAGTTTTTTTTTCTCTCCCCTGTAATGTCAAAGTTGACAGAATAAAAAAAAATGGTTTGTGGAATCCAAAAAAAAAAAACAAACAAAAAAAACAGTCTATCTGTGCACCACAAAGATGAAGTAATGAGACACGAGGCGGTGCTGGCGTGTAAGCCGAAACGCACAGGAGGATGCTGAAGAGGCATGTGTCTCCATCCGCTCTCTTTGTGTGACAGAATGTCAGCCCACACCACTGACATGCTCATCCTCTGAGCTTCAGGCTGTTTGCTTAAGAACAGCAAAGTGAAGGTGGGTGTGTGGGTGCTCGCTTTTTGTCTGTCTGTGCGGACCTCCCTGAATCTGTGCGTGCACCGTGTACGCAGTTTGCAATGCATGAATGTGCAAGTCTGTGTTTGTGTGTGGCGGTCAAGGATGAGTCTAGCATTCTGCTCTCTGATTCATAGCCGGGGTTACGTGGCTTTTTGCCTGCCTGATTTAGCCTAACAGACCCTCGGCTTTTCTTAGTAACGCTGACAGATTTACTGACTTGCTTTCCTGACAGGACACGGCAGCAGAGACGTTGTGCATCAAGG